AATCGTAAGAAAACAAATAACAGATTACATAAACAAAAAGGTTATTGGTTTACTGTACTATCCAATGATACTTTCATAGACATTTCCATGATATATATTTTGTAATAATTTCTGAACCTGATGACATTTATAAAATTTAATAAAAAAAATCTTGTCGGGCCGGGCCGCCCGACAATCTCGTCGGCCTGCCCGGCTCGTTGGTCTTTCTCGATTGGCCCGCCCGGCCCAACAAAAATAATCCGTTGGCCCGGTTCGGGCCGCTGGGCCAGGTGATCCGTTTCGAGCCCTGGTGTATATGACTGTTTTTGAATCACTTTTGGTGTTGATTTGAAAAAATATTCGAAACATTATTGTGAACACTAAGAAACAAGAGTATTAATACATGAGGTTAACTTTTTAAGACATGTTTTGATTATGACTTTCTTAAGATGCAATCATGTGTTTGTTTTGTGTAGATTCTAGTAACGATCTGCTCCTGTCGATGTAAAACAAGAATTATATATCGTTTTAACTACCACTTACAGTAGAATCTCTTACTAAGAAGCCATCCAATATGATCACCTGTTATACTAAGTGCCCTCCCCCGAGCAAATTATGCTGATTTTCATTCTCTCTGACTTGTTCGCCCTGCCATTCTGAATGTGACTGTTTTCTTTCTGGTCTGCACCTTATTCAATAATCTTGCCGATGTGAACAGCAACATTAGGCGCCACTGATTTCGAAGATGACGCTTTGCATCGGATTTAATTCGCTCTATGATACATTACAGAGAGAATGAGAAAAAACAGTTCCACGAAACTAATGGACGAATACTTTCCTTGTCGTTGTTTAGTGTTTGCCAACCTTGTTTCGTTTAATATGAGTGTTGGTGTGTGACTCTGGTAGTGGTTGCATATGAGTTACAATCTTGTTTGCTTTCGTCTACACACACAATCACAGTTTCACGGAAGCTTTTATTGACAGGTACACCACCTAATCTTCACTTCTACATTGTTACATACCGACACTCTTATATGTTTTGTATTCAAAGATACTTACAACAAAACATTTTAGCGCTGAGTTGAGTCTCGGAATGGATGGAACTCGTCGAGCTTTTAGGATGACTTAATACCTCTAACTGTCAAGTCATGCTTGCGATATTGAATAACAACACAAGTTTTAACAACTTGCCTAAAAAGAATACAAGAATACAAATCTGTATACAAAAATTCGTTGGATTCTGACTCGTGTGGGAATTTCTTCGGAATGTGCCAATTCTTTCTTTATAATCTTCTTTTCAAATGGTGTCTGTCCCTAACATCGTTGCCATCTATTCTGTGCAGAACTGCGTCAAAACTGTTTTCACGATCGCATCGACAAATTTATAACGTCGCTGTTACCTTTTATTGATACAAAACTACTTCATACGAGTATTCCTTGTTCTGTTTTTTTATGAAGGTTAAAAAAAACAACTGTTGATATAGTGATGAAAATTAGTCACTTTTTTATCATATTTGCAAATGTAACACTTAAAAAGGCTTATGTATTGTTAATATGAAGAGAAATTATGATCTTTAAGGCCACCCCCCCCCTCAAAAAAAGTCAATTTTCGTGAGAACTGTCAAAATTGAGATAAATACATAGGAAAATAGCCCGTCGTCTGCTCTTTCAAAATCAATAAAAATTTTTCCTAAAACCTCCATTTTTTCCCGAAATATTCCAGAATTTCAGAGAACCAGTTTTTGAAAAACCAGCGGTTTTTTGAAATATCCAGAAATGTTTTTCGTTTTTTCTCGATTTATGATTTTTGGATTTTGGTACAAGGATTTCTTAGTTCGGGTCCGTCCAACATATTTAAATTTTTTTTTTGTTTGAAAGAGCGCGTCGAGATGCAGGTCACTACAGAGTCCTTTTTTTAATTAAGCTTTGTTTTTTATTATATATAAAGACACTTATGTGACTGGACACCCATTTTTGCCGCGTTTTTTGAGTCATTGGACTTGTGATCTCCTTTCTCCGCTAAAAAAGTAAGAATCTCAAAAAAAGGACTCTGTAGTGCTCTGCATCCTGATATGCTCTTTCTAACAAAAAAAAAATTTAAATAGGTTAGACGGGTCCGGGCTGAGAAATCCTTGTACCAAAATGACCTATTTTTGACCCTTGTTTGGTGAATATCTCAGTCAAACATCAGGGTATCGAGCTGAAAATTTTATCACAGCCTCCTCACATCAGCCCCAACATATGCTCCAAATTTCAGCCCATTTGAACATACCTGGGCTGAGATCGATTTTTGAGGGGGGGGGGGTGGCCTTAAGCCTTAAACGATAATATACTGTGACAAGTTTTACATGTGCTACAAATATAAATATACCAAGTATTAGGTGTGGGTGTGGTTGTTTTCCGATTACATTTACACTCACACCCACCCATTTAACATACGAATCATTACATTTTAATACATATATGTTCCTTGTTTGAATAATCGATGAGACTAATATAAGGCAATAATATATTAGTGAACAGTTAATCTCGATTTCTTGCGATTTATTTTCAAAATTTTCATTCGTTGATATTCGGAAAAGCTTCATGGTATTTGCAGATTTGTGTAAGGTCAAATGTATTTAGGATGAAATAATAAAAAACACTCAAATGGAACTAACGAAATATTGTAACAAACTATTCTCTACTTGATACGAAATACTATGTACGTTGAGCTTTAATTCAATTATTTCAAAACGAATAAAACAAAATCTTGCTGTCGTGGAATCTATACGAAAATATGTGTCGACTGACAATGATTTCTATGCAAAAGACACTATATAGAGTGTAACTACGGTTGCCTTCAAACATTCACCGAATACTCTTCTATATGTGGTGTATAGTTGAAAATAGTGCGATCTTGTGCCGACGAATGCAGTTTGTAATAAAGGTTTTCTAAAAATTCAGATTTTTGTCCACAAGTCCCTGTTTTTCTGATTACGATAATATTGTGACAGAAAAACCATGGTGATATTCGGCATTATCTCATCGTACGACATCTAACTATCTATTAAAAAAAATACGTACTTTATAATAGTCGTTGACCCTTATGGTGAAAACTTTCTCAAAAGTCGACTTTCGTGATTCTGTAAAGATTTTATTCCTCTAAAGAATGTACGTATGGGTGTAGAGAAGACTCACAGGTACCTACACTCTCAGCTGATCTCCATTGTTAAAATGGAATAAAAATTATGACGGATGGTAGTGGCTCACACCTATTTATCCTTGTAACATCATAAGTCTACAAAAGAAGAACTTTATGAGTTGGTCCACCCTTTATTTTCTAGTGACTTGTTCTGGTTATTTACCGTTTAGATTTCATCGAAGCTCATAAGCTCTTACTACAATTATAGCCACTTCATCGTGAATATGTGGACGGAGAAAAAAATACCTGAGAGCCTTTGGAGGCGATAACTCAGTAAATAGTTTAGGAAATTGAGCCAAAAATTGTACATAAGCGTTGTTTATAGTGGAGCATTATTACCTACAAGCTTCATGAAATAACCTTCCATTAAATGAAAATTCGGTTCAAATAATCATTGTATTCGTACCGAGTACTCCAAGGCATGAAGAGAGAGCAATATTTGATTAAACTATCTGACGTTGTGAGTAAAAGTGAGCAAAGACTGGGCCTTACTTGCATGTTGAAGTATCAAGAATTTGTCGTGTATTTGGTAATAGGTTACGAAATATTTAATAAACAATCTTGTTTAGGCTACAAGTTTGACACAAAGATAGACGACCTGTATCATAATTCTTCATGTATTTAAGTAAGCGAAACGACTTCCACCAACGTGCATAGTAGCCGAGATACAGGAAGATAGGAGACTTCTGTCTACTACCGTAATAATTAAATGAATCGTTTTTAACATAGTATGTATTTTGATGATGTCAACATCAGTCGAAAGCTCATATGTATACTAGAACAAATATATTGATTGAATGAATATTAATTGAACAATGAAAATACCAATGATAAAAATTTCTAATTGTACCTAGTAATAAATTCTATAGCGTTTAAAATGCAATAAATTTCTTTATCATTTGGAAAGTTTGATAAATTTAGACAAGTAAAAGCAAGTTCCATCAAAATATTTCATTCTAATTTATGGCTTTCTTCATTAATACGAGCACTACAGAAAAAAAAAATGGTTTATTTAAATTTTTCATTATACTATAACATACAGCTCATTTCAAATATGAAGAAGACACGGAATAAGATAAATCATGGAAAATCGAAGTATTTTTTAGGTCATGTTTTTACGTCACAATATTGAAACTTTAAAGTATAACTGTGATTGTTCAAGAAAAGGAGATCCTGCTGTATTATTCTTCTTATTCATGAGCCTATATTGCTGTCTCTAGTTGCTGGTAAAGCAATCATGTCTTTTCTTCTTCTTCTGTATCAGTCTTCACCAAAAGAACATAAAATTTTACTGGAACAGAGTATTTTCTTTCTTCTCTTATTGTGAAAGAATGGTTTCACAATTATGTGTCATATGTCGTAAGTTTCTTTGAAGATAAGGTAAAACTTTCATGACATCTATATCTTCAAGTATATAAGATAGTTCAAAGAATTCAAAGAGTATTACAGCTATTGTGCATTGTTATCTTTGAACGAATCGAAGATTTATCATTGTATTTTGAATTCTCGTCTGTTCTCAGCTATCATCAATGGAATAACATAACTACCACCAGTATGTATTAATTCTTTCAAGAATATGATGGAGTAATAGCTGCAATACTCTTCGAACTATATATCATTTTGGCAGTTGATAAATAGAAAAAAATGGATATAGTTTGAGAAAAGCTTTCAATAAGATGAATTATATCAGTTGTCGAAACTTGAAACTATCACAAACTTATCCTTGACGTGAAAAGATTTCCAACTTTTTTTGACAGACCCTTTCTAGTTGTAGCGGTTTCGAAAATAGTTTATAATATAAAATGTTCAAACGTACTGTTTCGTTTCTAGAAGAAATATGAGTGATTTTATGAGACAACGACAATCGCAATTTATCCTAACAAGTGATGAAACAATTAGCCGTTTGATTCTTAAAGCAACTGATCAACATATAAAAGAAAAACAACGAATTATTGAAGGCAATGATAGTGAAGTTTATGATGTAAAACTAAACAATGATGAACATGTTATTTTAAAAGTACGCCGGTTTGGTGATGTTCTTTATGATCAAGAAGCCTGGGCAATAAATGAATGTCGTAAAAATGCTGTACCTGTACCACAAGTATTATTTTTAGGAAAAGAATTGATTGACAATGAAATGCGAGATGTTATGGTTTTAGAAAAAGTGAAAGGAAGATCATTCCGAAAAGTAATTGAAGAACAAAATATAAGTGAAAATGATGTTGCACGAGTTTTAGAACAAGCTGGAAGCATATTAAAAAAAATACATTCAGTCAAAGTTAATGGTTATTGGCGTTTGAATCATGATAATCAATGGGATTTTGATTCTTGGACTGATTATATGAGGTCAACAATTAAGGACAGAATTGAAGACAAACAATATCTGTTGGATGTTGGTTTTAGTGAAGAAGATTTTGATTTCATAATGAAATGTCATGACCTATATATGAATAACTATGAATGTCACCAACCAGTCCTATGTCATGGTGATTACACACATGAACATTGGTTTGTAGATGAAAGTTTGAATATAACAGGTATTATTGACTTTGGTGATATGCAAGGTGGACCTGTGACGACAGATTTTGCCATTTTTCAAAAGGATGAGCCAAAATCAGATTTGAGTTCATTAATAAAAGGTTATAATGGCATGATTGATGCTTCAATTGACGAAAATTTTGGTCAACAACTAGATCTTCATACATTAATTATATCAGTTGGCTATTTAACATACTTTATAAAACAAAATAATATAGAGGAGGTTAAACAAACTCTTGATTCGGTTCAAAAAGTAATCATCAATTTGAAAAAACAATATTTTTAGACTTTTCCGCTAGTTATAAATGTTTTTTTTTAATAAGGAACTAGATAAGCAGTTCATCTGGATAAAAAAAATATTTACCGTATGCATCTTGATACGAAGAGAAGGAAGGTAGGAGAGAAGAAAAAAAATACCCTCGTCATTCGACTATCTGGCAGCATGGGAACTACCTAGCACCAGATTCCATAGTTTGATATTTTATCTACAACTAACGAGGGAACCTATGCAACTGATAACCTTCGTTTGAGCTCATGTCTTGCCCATAAGTAGGACCCAGTGAGACTAGACAAAGCCTAAAAGAATAAGTGCCATTAGATCTTCCCTCCAAAGTTATAGTTGTTTTACTGAAATTTTATCCTACGACAAGGTATGTACAGAAAAATCGAATGACGATATTTCGACTTGAAATTTTGTCCATAGATAGGCCTACTTGTAACTAGAATGTTCTGGAAATTTCAGCTCAAAAGAATGTTCCCTTCATGAGATATTGCGTTTCTAAAAAAACATGAGATTCTCGAATCTATGTGGGATATAAGTGATTTTTGGAAATGCAATATCTCATGAAGGGAACATTCTTTTCAACTGAAATTTTCAGAACATTCTAGTTACAAGTAGACCTATCTATGGACAAAATTTCAAGTCGAAATATCGTCATTCGACTTTTCTATACATACCTTGTCGTAGGCTAAAATTTCAGTAAAACGACTATAACTTTGGAGGGAAGGCCTAATGGCACTTATTCTTTTAGGTTTTGTCTAATCTCACTGGATCCTACTTATGGGCAAAATATGACGTCAAACGAAGGGAATCAGTTGGATAGGTTCCCTCGTAAGACTTACTGTAGCTCTGGACAGAAAGTCTGTTCGACGCATAGTTCTTGCGCTCAACCGCTTGAAGTATTAATACACATTGTCTAACCGCATACTACTAAACATGAGGGTGCTGGTGTGAATATTCTCTTGTTTCTCACATACATTCAAACATCGATAGTCATAATTACACTCATCTACAACTTAGGCTAATGCTTATTTGCTTTTGTAGGTCACAAATTATACTTCAAAGACATACCAACACGAGTTTGCGAAATTTGGTTTTACTTTTTAAATAGGAGTATAGGCATTTAAATGTTAACTATACACCATAAATCCATGAAGTTATACTCACATTTCACATGCATACCAATATATGTCATCCACTCTCTGCTTTTTCCTACAAGAAATCTATCGAGTCTCGACGACGAATTGTTATCACATTATACTGAAAATATTTTCAGTCAAAAACTTTTGCACCATCCATTATTTACAAAGAAGTTGATTTGAAAAATAAAAGCTTTATAACTATTTACTAGTGTTATTGGCAAAACAAAGATTCCGTCAACGAACTTACAGCTTTTACGTCTTACAGATCAAATGAATTGAAATAATTTTAATACAACATCAGTTAAATGTCAGATATACCGTGCAACTATTATTTTTTCTCGCCACTTGACACAAAAATAAAGGGTAAACAATACATAGATTTTAAAGCTATACAATTTGTTTTGAATGTATGAAGGTTTCTTTTTCTTAATTCTGACTTAAGAGACTATAACAATCGACAATAATCTATACTATTCAAACATACATAAATGCATATAAAAATATTTTTCTTTTTGACAGTTCATATAATTATCATTAATGAACATGCATCACTAAAGCATAAGAAAACAAAAGCAACACCAATATAGTCGATATTTTTCATACAAAAGAAATATTTAAAAACGCAAGCAATTTGTTCTTTTCTCTTGAGACATAAAAAACTTTTATATTTGTTAATAATAAGATTAAAATTCTTTATGTTTTTTCTTCGTCTAAATTGTTATAAATCACATGACATACTTTTTCATGCAATATTTAATCGGCAAAACACAGCATTGCATAGATGTTTATTGTCTCAATGGACTACACATGCATTCAAACAGTGTAACTGTGTAATATTTTCTCATTCTTTCTTGTTTTTATTTTTCATTTTTCCCTAAGGAAACTTATCGCTTTTGCTTGCTCAAGAATCATATAACAAGCTTTCTACTTCTCTCATACAAAGTATTAATGAAAGTTCATTTTCATTGTTTTACCTAATATTTATTCTATATCTAATATTATTAATTACTAGATGGTGGCTATATTAACAATACAAATTTTATCACTTATAGCCACATCATTAACTAATCTTATTGGTATATTAACCTATGCAACTGATTATTGGTCAATAATTGTTTATGATATTGTTAAATTACGTTCCTATGCAAAATGGATTATTATTGAAGAGACAACTAACGGTAGTATTCATATAATTAATAATACTAATGATACACGAATATTATCAAATGTAAATTATAAATTATCAGCAGCTGTTATAGGAATTGATGAAAATTTATTATTATTTTCAACACATAAAGGTATATTTCGTCAATGCAATTATTTATCAGCTAATATACGATCTCAATTAAACATACCAAAATGTCAAGCAATCAAAATGGTTAATAACCCATATGATAATCATACTCACGGAGTGAATAATCCTGAACGAGACTCTATGCGTAAATATTCATTGATTTGCTGCATCTTTGTTTTCCTCATTTTTACTCCGATAAATCAAAATATTCTTAATAATATGTTTTTGTCATAAAATTAAATCATCGACTGCAATAACATTAAGAACAAGAAATTTTCATATTCATATCGGTCGTATCGACTGTCATACACTGGCAATATTATTCATTCTTAGAATAAGTCTTCTAGTCTTATGATTTTCGCTCTTCTAAAAGATTCAACATTAAATATATGAAAAATCAACGTCGTTTATGTATATCGGTTTGAATAAGATGATGTTAAGTATAATAAAGTGAATAATTGTTGATAGAAGCCTGTACTTTTGCTTATTGAAAAAAAAGTAGAGGCGTTAACGCATTGAATGAAGAAAAAAACACATAAAATCATTTTTTCAGAATTTCTCATCTTATTATCCTATCTGAAAAGGATCATTTTACGAATTTGAATTTGTCTGAGCATGAGGTATGAGCACATTATTCTTAGAACTCAATTGAAGTATTTCTAGATTCTCCTAAAATATATATAAAGAACGGAACGTGACATTATTCTTATTTGAGCTCTGATGTATGTCATTTATTTACTGTTAATAACGATAAAGACCCAGCAACTCTCAAGTGTGACATGTTTTTGATAGAACGGAACAAATATAGAATGTTACAATTGTTGTGTTACAAAACAGTCTTTTCTAAGAATTTGAGTCTCCAATAATTGTATGCTCTCACAATAAAAACATTAAACATACAAATTTTATGTATTTGATTATTACTTCAAATGAAGTAACTATTTTGTATAAGATCAGTTCATATAACGGATAATTTTAGTTTGAAAAAAAAAAACTAAGAAAAAGTCAGATATTGTCCTATTGATTACTATATCCAGTTAAATACTGTAGTAGTTTTCTCTACTAAAGTTTCTTGTTGGTTTTCAATGCTACGTAATAATCAATTCCTAAACTCAGAAGATTTAATAAATCTATATGATATATACATTCAACATTATATTAATTTATCATCTAAAATTAACTCTTGTTGTCATGATAAATTATATTCAATTATCTTTCTTGTTCAAATATTTTTAGGTCTACATAATGTAGCAGCGGCTTGTGCTATATTAATTGTTCTTCTTCTTTGTACTGGTACATTTATTGGAATAACTGTAGGTATTCTCAATAATGTTGTTCTAGCTACAATGACTGTCGGTGTAATTTATCTTATTTCAAGTATGTAATTATTTTATGAAATATATTTTATGACGTAAAAAATTCTTTATTTTCTTTTATCTTTTAGCAATGTTTAGTACTTTTGTTGTAGTTATAATGTATACAATATTGAATAGTGAACGTAAACAATCGCATTGTTCAACATTAGAAACTTTAACTGATGAATTATGTTCATCACAATCTATTCATTTATCATATTCATTTATATTAGGTTCTTTATTTGTAATTCTTAGCTTTATCACATCTGTATTATGGTTATTTTTACAAGAAAAACAACGAAAATTTGCACAACATTAATGTTTAAAAACAACAAATAAAAATAAATCATTTTCTCGATTGATGCTGTCTTCGAATATATGACTGACTAAATCAACATTCTTTTGTTTTTATAAAAGTCTTGTTCGTTTTACTCCAGGAAAACGACCCGTTCTTCGATTTCGATTTTTATAATCATAATCAACATCAGCTAATGTAACAAATCGACTGAGAATAAACGCAATGAGAAATGAAAACAAAGTTAAGCACGTAAAAAAAATATACCATGAACGTTCATCAAATAAATCATTAAAAGAGGGTAGAAGTTGAGAAAAATGATTGATTATTTCACGTTGAGTATTCAAACGACGTTGAGCACTTTTTAATAATGGCATTTCGATGGATTAGAATCTAAAATGTTTATGATGAGAAAGAATGTTGCATATATTTCTCGTTGTTTCTATATATGCGTAGTTGGTTCAATCATTGTTGTTGATGAATGCAAAAAAAAAAGAAGGAAAGAAAAATGCATGTGGTCTTTATCGTTCGAGAACAACTATGTCTAGGCATCTTTGTCTTCTCGTTTTTTTCTGTTTCTGACGTAAATACGTTGTAAATAGTATGCTGAACTTTTTTTTTTTCTTCTTGTCTTTTCTCTTACTGTTCTTTATGTGACACACAACTCCCTCTCTCGTTCGTTCTCTCATGATCTCTTGTTAATGTTCTGTATAGATAATCTTTTTCGTTCACTAGACACTTGTTGCTTCCTGTCATGTTTGTTGCATTGAATTTGTAAGTTTAATTTTTGTGTACGTATATGACAAAAAAGAAAAAAAGAAAAACAACAAAAATTCTTGTCTTTATGTATTCTGTAGTAAATCATTAAGTTTTGCTTTTGAAATATTTAAGGATACTCTATTGTTTATTATTATATGTTCATTTTGTAGAGATAAAAAATGTCAAATTGATATGAAAAATGCAAATAAAAGTTGTATATTGTGTAGACATTTTGCTGCATGTATTTTTTTCCTTAAGAACAGATATGCACAGGATATATAGAATTGTTCTATGTGTTAACAATGAAGTATATATTTTTGTTATTCAAGTTGCTTGTTTTCGGTGATGACTTTGATTAAATAAAAAATAGTATCTCTGACAATGTGTGCTAAACGGTCTCTTATAACATATATTATTCCAACTGCAGTTCATAAGAGATTAAGTGTTGCCACAATTAAATACGCGCGATTCTCTTTCATTCATCGAATTGTCTCTCATGATATATTTCCATTCTATTAGGATTTTCCTTTCGTTACATATATTCCAATCTAATCATTGGTGTTGTTCATTGTCGAGAGTCTTGCTTGAATAGCTGAAAATCTAGACGTATTCACTGTCTTTTATATCATTGTTGTTTTTGTAATGTATGGAGAATGAGTAAGCTTAGTTTGATCAAGATCAAGTATGTTTGATTGAAGGTCATCCTCCTCCTCAAAATAGCAGTTTGGAGCTATTGCATGATATTGAGCTTACACTTTATGTACATATTGAAGCAGCTTAACTGTGTACGGAAAAAAATTCAACCTTACAGTTTATTGTCTATTGGAACTATGTCAAGATTAGTAGCCATTTTGGGACCTTTAATATCTCCGGTACCATTCGACTACCTTAAGAGACCGAGTCAATTGTTTTTTATCTGAAAGAAAACACTTGGTTCAGGTGACTCTCGTGGCCTATTATGTGTTTTCATCTTTGTTAACTTTTCAAGACACGTATGATTTGATGAAACTGCAAAATTGTATGAAAGAATAACTAAATTTGGAAATGTTGCAACCGAGTACAAGAAATGAGACTAAAATTTTTTCAAGATGTGATGATGAGATACCTCAATATATCCACAGAGTTTCAACTCAATATCATGTAGCCGATCGAATATTTTGATTATGAGAAAATAAAAGATCGAAATTGGTTGTAGTTTTGATTTCGCGCGGAGGTTGAAGCCTTAGTTTATTAAAAACAATAAACTTTTATACAGAATAATCTATTATGAAGTTAACATAGTCTATATCAAGATGAGATGATAACTGTAGTAGATGTATATACATATATCCTTGAAAAAGCTATTGAGTATTAAAAGTAGGTTAAATAGCTTTTCTCTTGAAATTTGATATACATCATTGTCAGTCAATGATGTCAGTTGATGCAAGAAAAAACCTTGAAAGGTATTCATCAAAAAGCAAAAGAATTCATTGTATGTATTTGCTCAACAGATTTTGTCTTCTACTTTCACGTGCATACATATATCGTTCAACTCCTTCTTGCTATGTCAACAACTTTTTTTGTCCTCTGTATTCACTTTCTCTCCATTTTCATGTCAATGTGTTTCTTTTGTCGATATATAATTTCAACTATGTAAGTATATATCTAGCTTGAGAATTAGATATGAGAAAAAGGGAGCAAATATACAGACAAGTCTGATTAACATGGGAAAAGAATATAGAATGATTTCTTTTTCATTAGGTTTACGATAAATGCAAGCTTTTATTTGTCTTTTTACATGTGAGTGAAAATTCAATTGTTTTTTTTTTTTTTCTTTTGATATTATGAACAGATTGATTAATGATGTTATTCGCTTTTTGTATGCAATAATGTGCAAGATTTGGTTTTATTTTCTTCTATACCTAGAAGACAAAGATCAATGATCGTATTAACAAAAACAGTTACTAAGTGTCAATCTTGTTCTGTTTTTTTCTTCTAATGCACAGAAAATGTTCTTTTTGAGATCTTTTTTCAACTTATAGTTACCTTCAAGAGATTTTTGTGCATAAAGTGTGTGATGAATACTACTTGAAAGCGATTCATTTACGTAATTCATCTATAAAAAAAAAGAAGTATGGGTAACTTTTTCAAACTTTGAAAGAGTTCTTACTGATAAAAAAAAATAGATTCAATGGATATTTGATTAAATTTTTAACATTGCTTCATTCTTCAAAACGAGGCAAAAAGAAAAAAAAAGAGAGAGAGAGACAGAGCTAAAATCTAATCACATTTACATAACAATATACACTTGAGATTTTATTTTTTAGATGTAAATTAGAATGAACAATACATCACGATTTGATGTAGGTAAAGCTGCACTTCAACATCTTGAATTACTTAATTGTTCAGATCAAAATCCACTTGAAATTGCAGCACAATTTCGAACACTTCTACGTTCAAAAAAATCCAATAAAAATATATATTCACCTAATATTGATTATACATATACAGATTATATTGCAGCTGATGCAACAATCCGAAGACGAAAGCGTTCACAAAGTCTAGTTGATCATCGATCAAAATCATTAGGTAAAATTCAATATGATCTTAATGAAGATCAATTATTACCAGAATCAAATTCTTCATATGGTTTTATAAAATATCAAAATGTAGATAATATAACTGAAGATATGTATTCAGATTCAGCTATGGGTTCTGATTCTAGTGATTTAACAAATCATAAAATTGATTCAAATATATTATCTCATTCAATTGATATACAAGATGAAATAAATTATCATAAAATATCGAAAGAAAATAATAATTCAACTCGATTCCAATATCCAACTATTAATTGGAAACAATTACGTGAAAAACAATATGAAAATAAATTAGATAAAGTTAAAAAATTTCTTTCAACAAAATTTAAAACAATTCGTCTATCAAGAAATGAAACAAAAGATTTAACTATAAGTTCATCAACAAATATTTCAAATAAAACAGATTCATGTACATATTCAAATATGTTAGAATCAAGAAAGAATTCTAAAGAAATTATTTCAACGGAAAATACATCATCTTCTTCTTCACGAAGCCGATCATCATCAAATTCAATTCGTACACCATCAATATCGCCAACAAATTCTCCTCGATTAACTTATACAGTTTCACGATTAAATTCAACATTAATAAATCATAATAATAATGAGATATTTTTTCCAATAGCAGACTGTAATCTTATTATTAAACATCAACCTATGGAACAAACCAAACGAGTCTCTCATGTTAAAAATTTACGTAATGAAAATAAACTTTTGCTATGGTAATGCGAAAGAAACAAATTACATATAACATATTTGTATCAGAGTTCTTTTTTTTTAATTTTTTTTTCTTCGTTTATTTGAATATTTGAGTTTTGTTTGCTTTTTGGTGATTAAAAATGAAAGAAAAGTATCGCATATCCTAAAGAATATGGATCTCTCAATGTTTCAATTATATTCTTTTTAATATCTATTTGTTCAGACTTGATTTCTTTTTTGAAAACCTCGTTTTTTAATTCTCTATAAAACGATATGTTTCTTTTGTGAATCTAAATAACAGAATTCATGCACCAATTACAACTCGGTGAGCTCTATCAGACAGCGAAAACCGTACATCAATAGTATGCTCGATTGTTTAGAAATCTTTAACTTACCTGCCCAATTAGATATTTTCTGCATTACTTCGTTGACACATTCGTTTAGGAACATGTTCCAACAAAACTATTTCTGTTCTAAGCACAATTCTATGAGGTGTATCAGATATTAGAAACGGTTCATCAATATCTACTGTAATAATCGAGGAAAAGAAAAAGTTCTCTATGATATACTGCATATAATAACCATGACGGCAGAAGTGAAATAGATGAACTGGATGAATTCTGATCATTTAATTGAAAGATAACAGCGGGAGATTCAACGTGGATGAGAGTCTATGTTTCCTTTCAAACTTGAGCTGAGCTAAGTAAAAACAAAAAGGCGTAATTTTTCTATATTCCGGCACATGAAGTTCACCACTCGAATCAGAAAACGAAAAAATTTGAGACTTGTGTGGATTTGTAAAACAGCCCTTGAACTACAAGATAGTTGAATGAAGATGAAAAACGAAACAGAGCTGTCCTGATCTACAAGATGGTTTTTCAAAGATCCTGTCAGAAAAACATTAGGATTATACTCTAAATTTTTGAATTCGATATAGATTGACGTTGCGTCATGCTCACTGCTGACTGGCAAAAACCATAGATCGCTAACTATGTACCTTCCGGAGCTATTCAACTTCTCCAGATACACATTCCAGTTTGAAAAGGACAACATAAACTCGTCCATGTGTCGTCTTTTTGTCGATCTATAGATTTATTCAATTACCAATTAGAGAAATACGACAGCTGGACTGATTGCATAGTATATACCTCATTGAAGATCATATAAAGTCCTGTTTAAATCCTTGGGAAACTTGTTAATCATTTCGAAGTTCAATAGAGTTAATATGCAACACTTGCTACAAAACGAAAAGCAAATTTTTCTTCCTAATTCATTTCTTTCATCGCCAAGCATCAAAAACCTATTCAAGATCTGAACTGAAATGATGCTTGATATTTTTCTTTCTATTATAAGAAAGAATGAGAAAACTTTTGAACTTAACCATAGTACGGTGAAGCAGAATACAAAGGTGGCAACGATTAGTTAAAGTGAGAAGAAAAAAATAACGGAAAACAGGAAGCAAAGATCCATTAGAACTACTGCTATAATAATGATTTGTTTTATTCCATTTGTAGTCAATAATACAGATACTTTTAATTTTTAACAATATAAAAGATTTCAATTTTCTTTTCTTCTTAGAAAGAAACATTAAAAAAACAATAATTATCATTTCCTTAGAAAAAAGAAAGTGAAACTGTTACTCTTATCTATGATGTTAGCCGAAGGATTTATTATTTTTCGCTTAACGGTACATTATTCTACGTTTTCATTAGAAGCCTTTGTTATTCGATGCATAGATGTAAATTATTTTACGCTTTCTTAAAAGACGTAGTTATCGTGACAGTTGTTCAGCATCTTATTAGTAGAATAGAACGAGAAAAATAAATTTTTCTTTTCTTTATTTAATTATCGCGATAATGCTCCAATATCTTATCACAAAAACAAAACAAAATAATTCAGTTTAACTTTTTCTTTCTGTTCTTTTAAAGTATCCCTACAGTTTTTAAGAGTGCTAAGCGAGAAATCATATGAGTTACCCTAGTAAACTTTTCATTTTCTTCATATATTTATTCTCGTAGTTGTCGTCCATTTTATGCAACAAATCGAATAAGTTATTCTAGTTTTCCTTTCCTTCAATCGTTATGTCAATAGTTTTATGGTATCCTATGAAAGAAAGCAAGACACTTAGTCTTGTTTATTCTTCTTTTTCTTCATTAATTATTCTTACATTTGTCCTACGCGTAATAAGAGAAATGAAATTCAAAGACTAGGGTTGAATATATCAGAACAAGAGATAATAACTGGAAGCGAGATATTACTAGATAACAAATCATTCTCGTTTTCGTTTTACACTGGTTTTCTAAAAATTGTTTGTATTCATTCGAAGAAAAAAAAGGAATTTGCAGAAAAGATGATAGTCCATTAATAGTTCACGTAATCGAAGTAAGTCTTGTATTATTACTATCGTTTGATTCATGCTATCTTAAAACTTAATAAATTACTTTCTGATAGTCGATTTTATTTCTAACAACATGGGATGTGGTGCATCTGTTCCAAGCAACCAGATTCATTCGGCTCCACCTAATACATCACTCAGAACTGATCTAATACTCGAGCCTGTTCCATCGAGATCTGACGGATCTGAGCCGCAAGTAGGCAATGTAGAAAATTTTATGGTTCTGTTGTCAGCCAGTTAAATTAGCAAGAATATGGATATTCCAAAGTCAGTTACAACAAATCGCCAATTCAATTAAAAACATTTACGTATCCGGAAGACTGTCAAGCTTTTATGGTTCGTATTAAAGATGAGAAGACTTTTCTGATTATTTCGGAAATACTTGACGAACAATTTGTACTAACATTAGACGACGTTACACACCTGGATTCGATTTATATTTTCCGTTTGTATAAGACAAAACACGATACTTGGACTAGCCAATATCTTAAAATTCGTGATCTTTATATATCAATAATGTTAATTGTCAACAATTAACAACAGATGCTAAAAAGATCGATTGTGATCTTGTTGGATTTGAACTAGTAGAACGAACATTTTCAAAAACAATTACTAAGACCAATAAGCGAGAAGCTTTTTTCATGCATGGTAAATTATTTCGAGAAATTATTTTAACTCTGAAGAACGACAACATGCAAGACATGTACGAATTTTACGAAATACAATATCAACATAATCCTGGAGAACAAAAATTTCTCAACACATTCAAAGAAACATATTCATTTTATTCTCGTACTTGCTGGTATAGTCAAGAATTATTTCTTTATCAAATGTTAAATAAAGCTTTTCGTATTCATCAATACGACAATCAACTGCAATCGTTTTGTGGACAAATAATGGATAAAGTAGACTTTGATCACGTTCGTATGAACGACGGAGAACTTTCAACGAGTTCGAAATGTGAAGTAGGTCTTCGATTTGCTCGTGATTCTCTTTATAATCGAAAGAAAGTCAATGTACTAATGAATATTACTGTCGACAGAAATATGGAATTTCCTTTGGTGAATGTTACTGGACTTGCTGCTTTTAAGGACAAACAAGAATGGCTCTCTTCTATGGGATTGATATTTCGCATTCATTCTTTTAAATATTTATCAGATAGAAAATCGGTCATTCCTTTAACATCAACAGACGATAGCGATGAAAAATTAAGTGCGTTGAGAAAATATTTTAAAAAATCAATGGAGGATAAGAATCCTTGCATGAATTTTACTAAATTGTTGAATCAATTAGCAGCATGGGAAAGAACTGAATATTTCTATTTAATGACTCTTAAGACGGAGGCAATATGACAACGTCGTTCAGTCTTACTGAACGACTCAAAAAATAGTTCATATCAATCAACAACCTCTATCATTTGGCCACCCTCAAACTTTGATCCATATGCACAAGCTTGAAATTCTTAAACAGAAGCAATCAGCTTAAGAGCATAAACTCGATGCTAACACTGTCCATATGTGATGAATTGTATGGAACTAATCATTCATATTTTCGTACATCTATAGTTTCTGCGTATTTTACTTTGGTTTTTGTATGTCTACAGACTGTTATCGACCGATACATATGAATAATACTGGATCGTATACGAAATTCTCCTAGTGATAATGATTATTTTTCATGACAAAGATGATTTGAGTATAGATCATACACTCCTAACACCGATGGACATGGCCAATTTTTGACCATTTTACTGGCAGAAAAAAACACTCTTGATACATAAACGAAAATTCGTTTCTTATTTTTCTTGAAATCAACTTTTATAAAAAGAAAGTTGCAAAATCGGCGCCCGCTTTCGCCGGCATAATACGTTCGATCGAGCTGAAACTATACTCAGTATTTTTATATTCTTATTCGAATAGAAGTAGATAAAAAGAAACTAAAAAAAGATGGCTCCTCAAAAAGTGTCTAATATCTGTGAAAAAAAAATTTAGCTCTACCAGATTTATTGCGGATGAGAGAACTGGACGAATTTTAGCCATTGCGCTCTGGACATCTGCAAAAAGGAAGCATTTAGGAAGTTTTAGTCTATGACGACGCTTTCCCTCACTCATTGAGTTCTATGCACTCTGAAAGTTAAACATTTATCTGATGAAGCCTTCTCCAGAAATTCCATAATTCTTAGCTAATTGTCTAAACGGTTCTTCAGATTCATGGACCATTATAGACACATCCTGAATTGTAGTCAAGTTACAGTATATCTTCACATACCTGACTATTTTGTGAAGCATGGTCCAAAAGAAATGTTGAAGTATAGAGTTTGAAACTAACCTTCTTCCATAGATCGTGACAAAGACTGCCATAATAACATGAAAGACTGCATCTCAACAACGCCTCATCATAATATATGAAAAATACTTCCTTAATGATACCCTCCCCACCCCCCTTTCCGGGGTTTCTTGAGAACAGCTCATCAGAAAAATTTGAAATTTTCAGGGCAGATAGATCTTGATGAGTACAGCAAAAGTTATCATAGACTCAAAATTCCCTGATGCTGTCTTCTATGAGATAATAGGGTCACAATGTCGAAAAATCGCCTTAGTTTTCGCCCCCGTTTCTTCAAGGTGGTATATCC